CCCCGGGCAGCGGGAGCCCCGGGAGCGGCGGGTTCGGGGGCGGCGGGGACGCGCAGCTGCGGCTCCGTTACGGCGGAGCGGAGCCGTCCCGGGGCCGCGGGGCAGCGGCAGCGCCCGGCGAGCGGGGGGCACCGCGGGGCGCGGGCACGGCCTGGGCTCGGGGTCCGCACAGCCCCGGGGGTGCGGAGGGGGCGGCGGGGCTGCGGCGGGGGCAGGACGCGGTCCCGTGGGCAGGGCGCGGGCGCGTCCCCGACGGGCAGGACATGTCCCCGCAGGCACGACGCGTCCCCCCCGTGGGCAGGACGCGGGCGCGTCCTCCATGAGCGCGACGCGTCCCCCCCCGTGGGCAGGACACGCACCTGTAGGCACGGCGTGTCCCCCCCGGCAGGACGCGTCCCCCACGGGCAGGACAGGACAGGACAGGTCCGCGGTGGGTGGGACACGTCCCCATGGGCAGGACGTGTCTCCCCCAGCAGGACGCGTCCCCCGTGGGCAGGGCACGTCCCTATAGGCAGGATGTGTCCCCACGGGCAGGACGTGTCCCTGGGAAGCATCACCCGGTGCCGGGCGGGACGAGGACGCCGATCCCGGCTCCCCGTGGCCCCCCCCACCCACGCAGGTCCCCTGTCCCACAGGTCGCCCCCGCGCCGCTGAGCCATGCGGGATCGCCCGGCCCCCTCCCCGCCAGAGCCATGAGCGGCTGCCGGTACAATGGGGGGGTGACACGGCCCCGGGGCCCCCTGAGCGCCTCCGCCCGCTCCCTGCACCCGCTCGAGGGGGAGACCCAGCCCCTGCGGCCCTGCCCGTCCCCCGGCCTCGAGGTGGTGGTGTCGCGGCCGGAGCAGCCCGGGGGTCCGGAGCCCGGCCCGGCGGCAGCCCCGGGGCAGGATGGGGCCGAGGAGCGGGGAGGGGAACCCCGGAGGAACCAGAACATCGGGTACAAGCTGGGCCACCGGCGAGCCCTCTTCGAGAAGCGGAAGCGCCTCAGCGATTACGCCCTGATCTTCGGGATGTTCGGCATCGTGGTCATGGTCACGGAGACGGAGCTGTCCTGGGGGGTCTACACCAAGGTTGGGGGGGCGGTGGGAGGCGGGTGGGGGTCGGTCCGGGGGTCCGTCTGGGCTCACCCTGCCCCGCTCCCCTGGCAGGAGTCGTCGTATTCGTTTGCACTGAAATGCCTTATCAGCCTCTCGACCCTCATCCTCCTGGGGCTCATCGTCATGTACCACGCCAGGGAGATCCAGGTGAGGGGCACCCGCCCATGGGGGTCTCCGGGGGTGGGTCCTGCCACCCCGGGGGTCCCACCGGCGCCCTCTGTGCCCCCGCAGCTGTTCATGGTGGACAACGGCGCCGACGACTGGCGCATCGCCATGACCTACGAGCGCATCTTCTTCATCGCGCTGGAGCTCATCGTGTGCGCCATCCACCCCATCCCCGGGCAGTACCTGTTCACCTGGACCGCCCGCCTGGCCTTCACCTACGCCGCCTCCGTGGCCGACGCCGACGTGGACATCATCCTGTCCATCCCCATGTTCCTGCGGCTCTACCTGATCGGGCGCGTGATGCTCCTGCACAGCAAACTCTTCACCGACGCCTCGTCCCGCAGCATCGGGGCCCTCAACAAGATCAACTTCAACACCCGCTTCGTCATGAAGACCCTCATGACCATCTGCCCCGGCACCGTCCTGCTGGTGTTCAGCATCTCCTCCTGGATCATCGCCGCCTGGACCGTCCGCGTCTGCGAGAGGTGCGGGGGGGGCTCCCCGGAGGGGTCGGGGGGGTAATGGGGTTGGGGGGCAGCTGAGGACACACGGTGCAGACCCCGAGGGGGGGTCAGGGCAGAGGAGAGACCCCTTGGGGAAGAGACCTCTTGGAGAAGAGCCCCCCACTGCCCGGGCTGACCCCCCTTGGTGGGACCCCCGTGGTGGCCACGGTGGTTTTTCCAAACCGAACTCGCTCGCCAAGGCAAGGTGGGGGTGGCCGGACCCCCAGGGTGTCCCCAAACCTCTCCCAAACTCCTCTGTGCCCCCCTGGGGTGGGGCAGGACCCACTCTCTGCTGCCCAGGTGGAGCTGGGGGTCACTCAGAGGGGACCAAGGACCTGGGGTCTCACAGAGGGGACTGAGGATCCGGGGGTCTCCCGGAGGGGTCCCAGGAGGTGGGTGGGGGTCCCACGGAGGGGACCTGGCTCGGGGTGTGCCCGTGCTCCTCAGCTGCTCCCGCGGGGCGGGGCCAGGATGCCCGCACCGGTGCCCTCCCCATGCCCACCCCTTCTGGGCCGGCCCCCCGCCCCCCCCCTCCCGGGGCCGCGCATTAACTGCTCTTGTTTTCCCTCCCCGACCCCCCGCTGCTTGCACGGACAAACTGTGAGTGACCCCAGGGACCCCCCGCGCGTCCGGGGCGGGGCCGCCCCCCCCCGGTTTTCTCCCCCCAATTTTGGGTTTAGCGCGGCCGAGGGGGGGGGGGGGGGGGGAGGGCAGGGCTGAGGGGCCGGGGGGGCAAAGGGGCCGTGGACACGGAAAGGGGCTGGAGCCCTTTTCCACTTGGAACCTCAGTAGCTGCTTCCTGTCCCCCCTGTGCCCCCCAGCTGGGGGTCTGTGGTGCCCAGCCTGGCTGTGGGCACGGAATGGGGGTCCTGTTGGGAGGGGGGATTGGGCACAGCTCCTTCTGTGCTGGCGTTTGGGGGGCTCTTGGAGGGGAGGTTGCTGCAGGGATTGCTGTGGGTTCTGGGGTGACCCTGGAAGGGGAAACCCCGGCAAGAAGCTGGGAAGGAGCCACTGGATCCTTATTGCTTTGAACGGGAGGCTTTGGATGAGCCTCCAAAGGGTTTTCCTTGGCTCTGGACATCGTTCCTTGGTGTTTCCCCTCCTTAACCTGCATGTGTTGAGTGCCTGGAGGGAGTCCCAGGTGCTCCTTGGGAGTGGGGAGATCTGCAGGTCCTGGGGAGCATCACTGTGGGGTGACATCCCGGGCTGCCAACCCCACCCAGGGTGTGGGGTGCCCCCAACACCACCCTGTCCCGTGGTGCCCCCCCATCTCCCTGCCATGCCCCTCAGTGCCAGATGAGGTTCCAAGCCCCCCGGGGGGGCCGGGTGGGGGGACGCAGCAATCCTAAATTCCTCACCGCACGCTTGAGCCCCCCCTCTCCTGGCTTGCTCCCGTCTCCCCCCTTCCCTCCCCTCACCCCCAGCACCCCGTTTTCCCAGCTCCCCACTGCTCCCAGCATGTCCCAGCCCTGCTGCCCAGCTTGGCCGCTGCTCTGTGTCCCCGGCCGGGCTCGTCCCCCTGTCACGGGGGTCCCTCGGGGAGGGGTGGGGGGCACGGCCGGCCGTGTCCGTGGCACCGGCTCCGGCCACGGAATCTCAAAGCACAGCGTCCCCCACTGCCCACCCAGTGTCACCCACGCTGCTCTCGGGGCCCTTTGGAGCCGGAGTGGCCCCCCAAGGAGCTCGGGGTGCCCCGGTTCATCCAGGTCTCTGCAGGGACGGGGTGTCCCCTCCCCGGGGGTCTGTGGTGACACCCATGTGCTGTGCTTTGAGATCTCTGGGAGGGCTCCAGGGGGATGGAGGTCACTGGGGGGCTGCTCTGAGCCTGTCCCCTTGCTGCCCTCATCCAGCAGCACCCCCTGACCCAACCCCACTCCTGGGGGGGCACAGCCCACTCGGGGAATCCCTCCTCCCAGTGTCTGGAGCGGCCGTGCCTGATGTCCCCGAGGTGTCCCCAACTTCTCTGGGGCTCCCAGCAGCACATCTGGGAGCCTGGGGACTCTCCTTGCCTGGGAACACGCCCCAAACCCCTCGTGGAGGGATGAGCGCGGTTCGGGAGGTGACACAGCGGTGACAGCGGCTGCGCTCGGCCCCGGGCAGGTACCACGACAAGCAGGAGGTGACCAGCAACTTCCTGGGGGCGATGTGGCTGATCTCCATCACCTTCCTGTCCATCGGCTACGGGGACATGGTGCCGCACACCTACTGCGGGAAGGGCGTGTGCCTGCTCACCGGCATCATGGTGAGCGCCGCGGCGGGGGGGGGGACACACAGACACACGGCCCCTGCGGCCCCCAGGGCTGGGGACACACAGACACACGGCCCCTGCAACCCCCAGAGCTGGGGGGACACACACACACAGCCCCTGTGCCCCCCAGGGCTGGGGGGACACACACACATGGCCCTGCATCCCCCAGAGCTGGGGACACACAGACACACGGCCCCTGTGCCCCCCAGGGCTGGGGGGACACACACACACGGCCCTGCACCCCTCAGAGCTGGGAGACACACACACACACACGGCCCCTGCACCCCCCAGGGCTGGGGGGGGACACACACACGGCCCCTGTGCCCCCCAAGGGCTGGGGGGACACACACATGACCCTGCACCCCCCAGAGCTGGAGGACACACACATGGCCCCTGTGCCCCCCAGAGCTGGGGGGGGGACACACACACGGCCCCTGTGCCCCCCAGAGCTGGGGACACACACACCCCCGGGGGTCCCTGCCCGCAGGGCGCCGGCTGCACCGCGCTGGTCGTGGCCGTGGTGGCCAGAAAGCTGGAGCTCACCAAAGCGGAGAAACACGTCCACAACTTCATGATGGACACGCAGCTCACGAAGCGGGTGAGACCCCCCGGCCCCCCTCCCCCGAGCGGCAGGACCGGCCCTCCCCCAACCCCACCCACCCCTCACCCCTGGGCATCCGGTGGCTTCCAGGTGAAAAATGCTGCTGCCAACGTACTCAGGGAAACGTGGCTCATCTACAAACACACCAAGCTGGTGAAGAAGATCGACCATGCCAAAGTTCGGAAACACCAGCGTAAGTTCCTCCAAGCCATCCATCAGTAAGTGCCAAACCTTTACCTGCTTCCTACCAGGAATGGTGTCCCATCCCAGAGGTTTTGTTTTTTTCCCAGGAGGAGAGCTGGGTGCTTCCTCCCCTTCTGCACCTGCCTGGAGCTCTGGGTTGGGAGCCAGGAGGTCCCTGTCCTTGTCCCCTGTCCCTTGTCCCTGTCCTTGTCCCCTGTCCCCATTCCCCATTTCCTGGCCCCATCTCCACTGTCCCCCTCCCCTGTCACTGTCCCTTTTCCTTGTCCCCTGTCCCTTGTCCTTGTCCTCCATCTGCTGTCCCCATCCCCATTTCCTCCCCATCCCCTGTGTCCCCCATCCCTGTCCCCCTCTCCCCATCCCCTGTGTCCTGTCCTTGTCCCCCATCCCTGGTGTCCCCTGTCCCTGCCTCCTGTCCCCTGTCCCCCCCCCCACCATGGGATACTCTCCCAACACATGGGGACCCCGTTGCTCCAGGGGTGACCCCAGGGGTGCCCAGTTGATGAGGTTTGGTGTGACCTTGTCTCTTTGTCAGGGGAGCAGGGCTGGGGGGCTCTGAGCCCCCTCGGGTGCCTCCTGCTTTAGGGGGGTGGGGCTGGGGGGTGCCTGGCTTGGGTGGGGGTCCGTGGTGTGGGGGGGTCGTGCTGCTCTGCTCTCGTGCCCCCGCGCTCTTCGTGGTGTTATTAAACCTGCTGTTGTGTTTTGTCTCTGTTCTGCCCTGTCCCTGCAGAGCTCAGAAGTAAGTCACCCCCTTTCTGCCCCCCCCTCCCCGGCTGCTCCCCTTTGCATGAGCTCTGGCTGCCACGTTTGGGGCGGGGGGGACACCTCGGGGTGGCCCCCCCAGCTCTGTCTGGGCCGCAGGGATGGAGGGGCAGGGGATGTGCTCGTGGGGTTGGGGTGGGGTGGGGGACTGCATGCTGGGCTGTGGGGGGGCTGCATGGGGGTCTAAAGGGGCTCACGGGGGTCTGAGGGGGCTCATGGGGGGAGTCACCGAGCCTGAACAACCCCCCTGGTGTCTCCCCAGGCTGAGGAGTGTGAAGATGGAGCAGCGGAAGCTCAACGACCAGGCCAACACTCTGGTGGACCTGGCCAAGGTGAGCGACGCTGAGGGAGGGTGGGGTCTGGGGGGATTCAGGGGGACCCCACTGTGGGGGGATCCAGCACTGAGCCCCCCCCCGTGCCGCTGTGGTTCCCCCCAGACCCAGAACATCATGTACGACATGGTCTCAGAGCTGCAGGAGCGCCACGAGGACCTGGAGAAGCGACTGGGAGCCCTGGAGAGCAAACTGGAGGCGCTGGGGCTGAGCCTGCTGGCCCTGCCCGGGCTGGTGAGCCAGGCCCTGGGCCAGCAGCAGAGGGAGCTCCTGGGGGCTTGGCCCCCCCGGCTCTGCTCGGCCACGGCCCCCTGCACCCCCACCCGCGCCCCCCGCGCCCCTGCCGGTGCCCCCCCCGCCTCTGACAGCGGGTGAGGGGTGGGGGGTGCTGGGGGCACCCACGGGTGCCCTTTTACAACCTCCTCCACCCCCTTGGACGGCGGGTGGTAGGGAGGGGGCTGTGGGGGGCACCCCCGGGTCCTCCTCTGTCACCCCCTCCCTCTTCGGACAGCGGGTGATGGGGGGGGCACCCCCAGGTCCCTTTGCACCCCCACCCCTACAATGGACAGTGGGTGATGGGGTGGGGGGGTTATGGGGGCACCCACAGGTCCCCCTTTGTCACCCCCCCACCTCCTCAGACAGCAGTTGGTAGGGAGGGGGGTGTATGGGGGGGGGGGCACAGGTCCCCCTCTGCCACCCCCCCACCTCCTCGGACAGCGGGTGATGGGGAGGGGGGGTCTGGGGGGGCCCCTCTTATGTCTGGCCATCGTGTGGCTGATTTCAGTAGCTTTGTTCTGTAAAGCCCTGTATAAATTTCCTGCGTTCACTGTGCTGGCTTGAGGCTGGAGCCCCCCCCGAGCCCCCCCCCTGCACCCCCCCGACCGGGTGGGAGCTGAGCCCCAGCCTCCAGGAGGGCTTTTTGGGGGGGTGGGATGCAGCAAGTGCTGCAGTGGGGGGGCTGGAGCAGCCCTGGGAGGGGGGCAGAGGGAGAGGGGGGAGAAACCAGGAGCCCTGAGTGTTGTGAGGGGGGGGGTTAGGGGCTGACCCCCGGGTGTGGAGGGGGTGGAGGTTGGGGACAGGGTGGGGGGACGCCTGGGGTCTTACCTGGAGGGTGCGGAGCGGGGAGAGACCCCTGTGGTGAGAGCAGGGCTGAGCCCCAGCGTGGAGGATTTCTGGGGGGGG